CCCCCCCTTTTCACAAAGCTGCATATCGCTTGCACGAAGATCAAGCGAGAAACTTACTGCTTGCTCCTACGCTTCATGGCCATGCTTAGCTGTGGGTTAGAGGCTTTTTCCTTCCACCCTCTGTTGTCTTGGGATTTTGACAGGAGATGCACTTCACTGCCATGATAAATTCATGGACTGGATACTCGGGGTATGTCATATGAGTCCGTACACAGGCAGCTCAGCTAGGCACCAGCAAAGAAATTGCTAATATCCTCTCATCGCTGTGTGAATGGCAGAAAAAAAACTGCCTTTAAAAATTAAAGGTCCTACATTACTATTCAGTCCTTTTTTCATTGCCCGTGTCTCAGAAGTTTAGGACTGTTGTAACTAGGCTGTTAAGACCAAGCTGAGGCCAATCCTATTTTACTTTGAGAGCAGGAAAAAAGTGGGAGAAGATAGTGTAGAGGGAGAGATTTGAGGGCAGGAACAGATTATCTGTAAAATCTGTATTTTCCTTTTCCTTTTGTTCACACTTGCATGTACTTTTCTAAGTATTTTTTTGTTCTTTGTTTTTATGACCATTTGAAATCATAAACGAATGTATACACAGCTGAATTTTATAGGTCATAAAAGGAACAAATAAGCACAGCGTGTTTTTGGTGCATACTTGTTGGTGCTGGACAACTATTGCATGAAGTCTTGCACGCAGTCTGGATGCGGTTCCATGTGCTGTAATGGCCGTCTTCAGCTCTTTGGCAGGGAGGGAGCCTGATTTATCGTTTGACTGATGTCCTCCTCTTTTTAACCCCTCTGCAACGTGTGCATCTGCGTTTCCTTTAGTGCCGCATGCAGCCCTGTTTGTTTTGTTTCTGCCCCTGGGGAGTTGCTTTGTGTAAAAGCTGCGCTCAAAAGCCTGGTGTGAACTGCCATGAAAAGCTGGAAGGATTTCAGGTCGTGACAGTGAAGGCTGTGGAAGGGAGGGCTGTAAAAAATGCCAGTTTGCTTACTGGGATGGTAATTAAGTTTTCTTTGCGGAAATCAGGTGACCAGATAAGGTGCAACTGGTTTGTTTGTGTAAACTGAACTGCGTACCTGTTACTTGAATCTCATGAGTACTTCAGGTTTTGGTTGAGGGAGGTTTCTCTTTTTTTTTTTTTTTTTTTAACCCCTTGCCTCATTATTTTCTGTAGGCTGTAAGAGGTGCTACTGCAATGTTTGGATTCCCTAGCTGGCAGCCTGAGCTTCAGGCAGCTGTGGGTTTTCTTGCTATTTAGTCACAGAAAGCAAGCAGGGAAGCTTTAGCTGTAGCAGTGCCAGGGAAGTAAAGCAAACTGAGTTTATGGCCTGCCTCCTTCCCCCCCCCCCCCTTTTTTCCCTGCTTTCTTGAAGAGGAGCTTTGATCCCTCCTTCATTCAGTTTGTTTCTGCCTAAACCTGTATCACTTGCCTTCTTTTTCACATTCTTCTCAGGAACAGGATTCTGTTTGAAAGTTCAGTAACTTGTCATGTAAAGCACTGAAAGACGAAATGGAGACTTGCTTATTGACTAAGTGATTAACTTAAGCATAGAATTGCATCATCATCTTGATATCATCTGGAAAAGAAATGCTGGGCTCATACTTGGCAGGAGTTAATCATCTTAATCCATTACTTGCTATTGTCTCGATAGAAATTAAGTCATTCTTGGGTCATCTCAGCCTTTGAGAGAGACGGTCTGTATTGCTATCTTCCACCTTCCTCTGCCAAACGCCACCCTCCCAGCCCCCTTTTCTCCACTATAGAATGTGTCCCCAATGGGTAAGCCCTGTAAGTTGTCTTTCAGTTGCTTTTTGCAGTACCTGTGGGTGAGGAAAGGGGGGGTGTATGGATTGCAATACAAGAGGTTTGCTTGATTTCTCTCTGCTTTCTGTTTGGTGCGCAGGTGACTGCCAGCTGCAAACACATTGTCGAATCCAGAAGTGCACCACAGACTTTGTCTCCTTAACTTCACATCTGAACTCTGCTCTCGATGGCTTTGATTTGGAGTTCTGCAAGGCCCTGCGGGCGTACTCTGCCTGCACCTACCGCAACTCCAAAGTATGCCGGGGGAACCTCGTCTACCATTCTGCGGTGCTTGGGATCAGCGACCTCATGAGCCAGAGAAACTGCTCCAAGGATGGACCCACATCCTCGACTAACCCCGAGGTGACCCATGATCCCTGCCACTACAGTGGCCGCGCAGGAGCCAGGGACCACCGGGGAGGGGAGCAGACTTCTCCTCCTACTTACCTATTTTGTGGCTTGTTTGGTGATCCTCACCTGAGGACTTTTAAGGATCACTTCCAGACGTGTAAGGTGGAAGGGGCTTGGCCTCTCATAGACAATAACTACTTATCAGTGCAAGTGACGAACGTGCCCGTGGTCCCAGGATCCAGTGCTACTGCTACAAATAAGGTACGGATTGCTCTTAAACTCTCTATACGCGTACGGAAGTGCAAGGCCAAGACAGCAGAGTAAGCCACTTAACCCTTAGGAGTTAAGGAGTCACAGCAGGTTGAGGATGTTTTAGGCAGTAGCTTGAGAAAGTAAGACTGCTGGGCTTCTGTTTTGTGAAATTGCTTCTTTACTGATTGCCTTAGAAACAAATACAACTTAAAACAGCTCTCCCCCTCCACCCCATCTCAAAGTGAAATAGCACCACAGTAACACTTAAGGAAACTAACTTGCTGCAAGCTGATGCTTGTTTTAAGGCATCATCTGTGACTGCCCCTGCCCTAAGCGGAAATCCTAGGGTAGGAGCAAGGAGAGAGTGAGGATCTTTGCTTTCCATTAATTCTCGAAATTCTACAGCCGTAACTGTCGAAAGCAAAAAACGTTGACGGAGTGGCAGAACAAATTAGCCAGGCATTGAAGGTTCAAAGCAGAGACAAGAAGGAGAGCTGCAGAGAACTGAGAGGAGATGGCCCCCCTCAGAAGACACTGATGCCAAGTGGAAGGCCTTAGTGCCCTGGCTCTACGAAGGAAGCAGCAGCCTGAAGATCTTGCTGACGGTATATGTCACTCTGCAGACAGGCAAGGCACTTCAGATTGCTCTCTTCCCAACCACTTCAAGTGGCTACAGAAGAAATAACGTGCTCTAGTGTTAATAGCATATGCCCTTTCTTTAAGAAAAGTACTTAGCTTTTTATGCCAAAGGCAGATAGCAGGTGTCCTTCAAGGAAGAAAATGAGGAAGTATAAGGTCTGGCTGGGCCTGACTGAAACGTCCATAGGTTTACCCCAGAAGCCAGGGTAACGTTTTCAGGCATCTTTTTATCATCAAACGAAATCACTCGAACCTATGTGTGAAGCTGGTGCTGTCCCTCTCTTCCCTTTTTTTAAATTAAGTGGCCAGTTACAGCAGTGTACTTAACTGTTGTAGGATCAGGCTGTGTTGGCTATGTTACACTGTTCGTAGACCAACAGCACTGGAAACTTCTCACTTTATTGCTGTGAACAGGAACAGGTTAGTGCCCTTACTTCTACCAAGGAGATAACTGTGTGTGATGAGAAGACTGATTCTCATTATTCCTATTTACTGTGTTCATCCTTGCTGAATACTGAGGTGTCGTCTAATGTCGATGCTTAATGGGTGAGAGAACACTTTCTGCTTGGGTAATAAATCAAAATTTTTGGATTTGCAGGAGGCCAAAGGTTGGATTGACACATCAATGAAAAGCAAAATCCCCTTGTCTTAACTTATGCTGATGCCAAACACAGCGCCAAACACAAAGAGCTTGGGGTTATAAAAGTATAAAAAGAGGGAATGAGGTTATCCTGAATAAGCTTTGCAAAAGAGACTTGAGTCTCTTGAGAAATCTGCTCCAGTGGCTGCCTTTTTTTTTTTTTCTTTTAATACTCTTAAATAAGGAATACAAGAGAAAGTTATGTTACACAATCTCAGAAAGCTTTTATCCTCAGTTTTGCTAAAGTCTTGCAGAATAGTCTTTGTTTCCTTGTTCCTGATAGTACCATAGGACAAAGTGTGGAGAGTCTTTCCATGCACAGATTGTGTGGGTGGCCAGGGTGTGATGGTAGCAGGAGATGGGTAATCTTATCTTTAACTGGCCATATTCTAAAAATGATTGACTACAGTAGCATGTTATGCTGTAGTATGTGTTCTCAAACAGGTAACTAAGAGGATTTGATGAGGTAAATGTCTATGTACTGGGGGGGGGAAATAATGTTTTTAAAAGAAGAAGTACCTTTTGTCTTTAACTTTTTCTAATCTCAATGCTTCTGTTTGTGTGTGTTTTTTTTCTGTAATTCATCTGGCCTTCTGGAAAAAGCAGTAATACCAGTATTACAAAAGTGAAAAATGTATTAGATTTAATGTCCCTGTAGCTGCACAAGTACAGTTAAGTGTGTAGAAGCAATCAAATAAGATGTAAGCTTTAGGATATTAGAAATCTCTAGCGCCAGTATCTGTTAAATGCGTACAGTACTCGAGTGTTTTCTTTCTTGGCAGGTAGTCAAACTTTAGCAGCACACCTCTTTGTGGGAAATGAAGGTTGTTTTTTGCATGCACAAGTAACTTCTCAAGATAAGTTTTAATCTCTCTAATGCGTCCTTTTGATTTCTTTATGGAGCAGACTGCTATAAAAGGTACAGAAAAGGCCTGTTAAACTACGCTGCCACTGCTGGCGCCATCTTGGTTGTGATGGTGCTGCTGGATTTACTTAACGTTATTTCGGCCATAGGGTAACTTGAGATACTGCTTAAAGAGACAGCAAGAACATAATTTCAGTGGTTTTCTTTATCTAGAGACAGTATTTCTCCTAACTGAGAGCATGCAAGTAAGCTACCTGCCTTGTCAGTAAGAAAAACCTCATGCAATCATAATCAGTCTTGCTGTTTCTTTTTTTATTGCAAATATTGGAGATGTTTAATTTTAATGGGAAATAATAACAAAGGTGTATGTTGAACTTGAATTGTGGAGAAGCCAAAGCAAGTATCAAATTGCTAACTAGCCTGTTTAATCCTCTCTAAAGCAGACCTAATGAGAGCACTGACAAAAAGCGTGGAAGCTTTAATTTATTTTGAATGCCCTTTTTAAGGGAGAAGTGATTTAAGGAGGTATAGGAACAGAATATTGAATCTATATCCCACGTGCAGTGAGCCAGCTTCACCTGACTTCTGAAACGGCTGTTTCAAGGGGCGTATCATCACTTAGCCTTCTAGGTGCTTATTGCCTCCAAATTTATCATAACTTGCTAGTGTTTAGAGCGACTTTTAAGGGAGTCAACAATGAAGGGAGCATTCTCTGTTTTTAAAAAAAAAAAAATTGTCTTCTCACTCAAAAAACCCGTATAACTTGAATAACCCTAACAGTCTGAGGGCTATCTAGCAAGTTCGTAAAGGACAAGAGACTGTCAGATTTTTAAAAAGAATGTGAAGAATAAAAATACGTTTTTCTGCCTTCATTACACATCTGGCAGGAAAGAACGGAAAGCAGGAGAACTCTTCCTTTAATTCCTTAATTGGAAAGGTATGTCCTCCTGTAGGAGATGTGTGTTCATTCACAAAACGCTCTCGGCAATTTGTTTGTAGGTGTTTTGCATATTTGTGATGCCGATAGTAAGGACATCTGTTTCCTCAGAGCGAACAAAGCTGTTGTATATTCTGTGGTCGAGTTGCAACTTGCAAACTCCACTTTCTTCTGAGCTTGTTTGATCTGTTTATGCCCCTTGGCATAAGATCCCAGGGCCTTTCAGATGGAGAATGAAGGATCACCAAGTAGCTGGGAAACAGATTTTCAGTATGAGTTTTGTGCAGGTCACTGGCATTTCTGTATCTGATTTCTGGAAGCAGAGCTCTGCAAGCTTTTGGGGATCTCCTCAGGGCAAATGGCTATCTCAAGGGGCTGTGGAAGGGAGTAGGTAGGAAGGGTATCATCTGATGCCTTAAACAGAACTTTTTCTTGTTTTATCGTGGGCTTTATTTGGAGGGGAACAAAATCTCTGTTGTCTTTGGTCAGTGTGACAGGTGTTCTGGATATCACCAGTGCAGTTATCCCTGAGTAGCAAATGCGGCAGAGGTGCCTGCGCTTCCCTATGGAAAACTTTCCTGCTTGTTTACCGTGATCAGAAATGGTCAGGGGGCTTTTCCTATCCAGGTGTTTTGTAGTGGATAGCTTGAGGGTGAGGCATGGCGAACGGACGCAGGGAGGGCAGAGAAGGAAAATCAAACAGGCTGTGGAAACCCCAGAGCTTTTACTGTAGTAGGTTTACTGCGCAGAAAGCTTTGAATCTGGGAAGAGACTGCATTAGCAGGGTAATGAAACATTGGGTAAGTGCTCTTTTTCCCTGAGTCAAAACACTTAGGTATCTCTTTTGCAGTCTGGTTTCTATTTTTGCAAGAGGAAATCAGTGGACTGAACACCCTGTACTTAGTCTCCTGTAAATAATTAATATTAAAAACATTCATCTTCCAGTTACTGTTCGGTTATGCTTCTGAGTGGGAGCATCAGATCACTGACCACGTGCGATTAATTTTCTCATCTTTATAGACTTCCTGCCCAAGATAAAGATGAACTTTGGCTTTATTTCTCAGAGGAGGTACATACTACCTTTTTGTTGAAGGACTTCAGTCAAAAGCTGCTTGATCCATGAGGTGGAGCAGATAACCCATCTCATTAACTTACAAAGCAGTGTTTTGTTTTGGTTGCTGAAGAGGGAGGAAGATTGCCAGCAGAAGGGGAGAATGAAGGGCCTGGGGTCCTCCAGCCTGTGCAGGTTGGTGCTGCGCTTGGCCATGCAGCTAGACACAAACGGGTTAAGCAGGTAGCTGTGGACAGCGTGAAAATACAGGTGCCGAAGCACTTCCTGTGGATTTAGGATGTTTCTAAAATGCTGAGGCTTGCCAGTGCCTTTAAGACAAGGGCTCTGTTCTTCATTTCAGAAGCTACCCACCTGTGCCTAAATGAGATGGCTTGTTGTTGACTCTCCGGGCAGCTAGTCATTGAATCTCCCCTGGGAGCAGTGCTGGACCTGGAGTTAGGGCAGACTCAAACCTCTTCTCATGGTTAAACATGAAAGGTTTTGTCTGAGGATCTCTTCAGTATATTTCAACTTAAAACACATTCACAGAGGTAGATTTTAATCTGTTATCTGTATCTATTTTTCCCTGATTACTTGTCTTCATGAAAAGATGGGGATGGGAGAAATCATATGCTTATGAAAGAACCCCGGAGTGGTCAAGGGACCAACTGGTACCTGAATCTTAATTGAAAGTTCCTAATTATCTTTCGGTCGTGACCGTCTGGTCGCTAGTTCATAGCATGCTGAAAACAAGTAGGCTTTTCTGTTAGGAATAAAACTGGGTGATACAAAAGTTCTGGAGAAAGGGACCTTGGCACTGTGCTGGCTGGAAGACAGGAGGTGAACGCAGGCTTGAGGCTAGCCTCTTGGGCAGAGG